TAGAGTCAAAACAACCTTGTCGGCCTTGACCTTTTCATTACTATGCTGCAACGTTTGCGCTTAGTGGTAAATGTTATTCAAAAACGTTAGCCTAGCTAAGGAATCATACAAAGAAGCCCCACCTCATGTCTCACACTCAAATGTGGAAACAGTAAGTGTCCAGACTAAGACAAGTCAGCAATGCTAATAGCTTTTGCAGCCACTAAGTGCTAATTTTTTCACTTAGTGTTAACAGATTTTGCAGCTTCTAAGCGCTAATCTTTTCTCTTAGTATGAATAGATTTTGCAGCTTCTAAGCGCTAATCTTTTAACTTCACGTGATATTTCAACACACACTATTATAGTGCATGAAATTTTGCTCCATCCACTCCCAATAATTGGGTAGAGAGCAAAACACTGCTCATACTGGCTACTCGTCTTACACTTAATAACTAATTTATTTAAGTTCGCATTTCTTGGATGACGTGACTCTTGAATGTTACTTCATCCAATGATGTAACATTATTTACAAGTCAAATTACAAAGTCAATCCGCACAGCTCAATAGTCAAGATCATATACAGATCTATTGAGTGCTTACTAATTTCATAACTCCAAAACTCGCCAACCAAAACTACGTAGCATGCCGCTAACCATAGCGCACACATTAGTTTTTATTGTGCCAAACAAGGCAACAAAACCACGGCGACTTTGAGTCATGTTTCCTTACTTTGGCTCAATTAAGGTCTGACCTAAAGTCTCCAAGACTTTTGCTCATCTAAAGAATAGGACTACATTGTTCACATTTGAACACCTTTCCTAAGTCTAGGTCAACCAATTAACTTCCATAAGCTAAGTCAATTTAGAGAGAAATTCGCATTGGGATTAATTTGATAGCATAATATAATTTTGCCACAAAAATCTAAATTAAATAGTGACAATATTACACAAGTCGCAAGATCGAAAATCCGCTATGCTCGTAATCATCTCTTGCACCACATGTGACAATTATCCAAAATTTAATTTAATTTATGCACAAAATATTGGCTTTCGGGAGTAAATCTATTAAGATTTCCCTCAACTGAATAACCTCCCACTGACTATGGCATGTCTAAAAGCATGATAAAAATTTTTAATTCCATACAATAGCATCATAATGTAGATTCACAACCAACTTATGCTATGTCACAATTAATAATGGAATTTAAACAAATAACAATTAATCATGCTATTCTAATTACAACATATTTGAAACTCTAGGCAAAAAATAACAATATGCTGTATTTAATATTCAAATTATGCCATAACAGAAACTATATTGCTTCTGAAATTTTCTGAAATTTTCTGGTATTTTCTGGAATTTTAAATAACTAATAAACACACATAAAATTAGATATAAATATTCCAGAATTTGATAAAATGCTATAACTATACCAGTAAATAGTAAACTACAACAGTAGTTTACAATAAAAAATTCAGCCCCAGAAACTTAATCATGCAACAACAGATGCATTTTAAACCAAAAATAATGAATTATTATTTCAGGAAAAATATTTTTTATTTTTATAAAATTTTCAAAATTTTACAGAAGATAAAAAATTTAATTCTGAGTCTAACGGTACCAACCACGCTTAAAACAAAGCTATAACGAATTAATTATGACCATTTAACGCGATTCAAAATTTAAAACAGAACAAACAGAGCTTTATGCATCAGTAGCCAAGCCAGCCAAGTCGGAGGAGGAAAACGGCGCGGCTCGGCTCGGAGAGCGGCTCAGCGCGTGTCTCAGCAGATGGCTCAGCGCGCGACTCAGAGAACGGCCCAGTGAGCGGCTCAGCACACGGCGCGCTAGTGGATCTCTAATCCCTCAAACAAAGCATGTTTGACCCTCAATTCTTGCAATATATTCACACTCAATCCGCCTCTCATACAGAGCGATGTGAGTTGCCGGCAGTGAATATACAACAGTGGTGTAATTAGATGGGTCTAGGGTATATGAGACACTATTTCTGTTCTTTTTGGATTGATGTCTCTATGCTGGCTCATTTTGAGTTTCTAGTATAGAGCTCCCACATGCAGGTGTTCTCAGCAGTCGCATGGTGCAGTGGCTAGTATGAGATTATTCATTTTTTGGGGAGATTGAGATAGAGATGTGGCAGTGTCATGCCAACTCATGTCTGAGTGGGATAGGTTGTTTTTCTCTTAATCACCCATATCCTATATTATAGCAGATATATAGGATAATAATAAATCTATCCATATCAGTTATATCAAATATATAAGATATCTATATCATCTACTCATATCAATTGATATGATAGATATAGATATTCTGAGTAGTTATCCAAAAAGATTTTGAATTCAAATTCAAACTTATTTGAATAAAGTTCAAAAAGTTTAAAAAATGATTATGTTACGTGGGCGCCCAATTGCTAACAGTCTCATAAGGTGGGAAGAGAGAAATAGTGACGGCGGTTGGATGGGTTAAAAGAGCAATGTGGGTGAGTGATGGAGCGAGACAGAATGGCTTGGGGAAGAGTGAGAAATGAAGATAAGGCCATGGCTGGCCTACTTGTAGAGAGAGAAAGTGTAGGTGGTTTAGAGAGAGAGAGATGATGGGGGGTTATAGTTGAATCTACTGCCAGAGACTCTTTTGTACCCAGTTGAGAGAGAGAGAGAGAGAGAGAGAGAGAGTCTGGTTTGGTGTTTGGAGAGAGAGATAAGAAGTCTTGTGTCTGGTGTGGTTGACCATTAGATCGGAGGAAGATGAGATTAGGGCCATTTACTAAGGATAGGAAATTAATGCTTTTGATTTTTCTTATGAATATATGATCCGTCACATCCCCTTCTATCTACCATTCCCTATTGCGCCGATGCCACTGTAAAGGACGACAGGACCTTCGAGCTTGAGAATGGAGCTGAGGGGTTGGCGGAGATTAACAGTGGGAGATGGGGAAGAGGAGGATCCAATGGCTTGCATGCGGGTTTTGAGGGTGTTGACCGGGATCATGGCTAGGTGTTCGACGGAGTTGGCAATCATGAATTGCCAGAATTCGAGGCCTCCCATTGGAGAGAGAGAGAGAGTTGATCCCATGTGTTTAATGTACTATAGCTTTGATGATGGGTGGTCTTGATTTGTTAGATGGTTGATAAATCTTGGTACTGATTTGGTGTTAACAAAATCAAAGTTGAGATCAAAATAAAATTAAAAGAACCAGTAAAGTAGTGGCACGCGTTCTATTAAATTTTGTTATGTTAAACAAGTTAACAAAACTGGATGGAGGATAGGAATTGAAATTTTATGAAAATTTAGGATTTAAATTGATACAATTGAAATTCTGGGGTTTAATTTGAAAACGCACGAAATCTTGAGGTTTTTTTTTTTTTGTAATTTGACCAAAACATTTTATTTGCCTAAAAAAGAAATTTTAATTTAATAAAATGTCATTTATGATTTTTTTAATGAGTTGAGATATTTATTTAAAAGGCTAAATGTACTAAAAAGATAGTGAGTGAGAACTAATTTTTGTAGAAATTGACTTACGAAATTTTTAAAAGTAAGTTATTTTTGGAAAAATAGTGCAAATTTTTTTTCTTAAAATATGTTTTACTTAATTTTTGTTCAACCAAACAACAAAAAAATTTTACGTCAAAACAAACAAAACCTTAATGTTGATCACAACAGAGTGCAATTGGATAAATTTTGGTTTGTATAGCAAGTAGCCAATCATCAATTGCCACATTCGTTGAAATGTAGAAGCTCTTACAAAACGGGTTTGAGGAAAACCAACCTCATTTTGGAATTTTGAGTCACTGTTGTGCCTGATGCATAGCGGTGGCTGTTTAGCGGCATAGGACTCGTTTTGAATTTTATTTTAATGATTGGAACCGTTAAATTTTAAAAATTATTGACAAAAATATATATATAAAAAATTAACTTAATCGAATATCAAAAACTCTTTATGAAATCATATTTATATTCAGTTTGATACATGCATATTCATTTTTCTAATACACAAATGTGCTTAGATGAAATGATATCGATATCTGATTAACTTGTTTTTTCATAAGCATATTATTCTCGATATTTTTTAAAATCTAAACAATTCAGATCATTAAAATAAAACTCGAAACAAATTTCATGGGCTGCACAATAGTTACTGCTGTGCATCAAGCATCATGCCCCCCATTTTAAGGATACACTTTTTAAAGTTATTTTCAAGTTTTTAAAAATTGTTTTTGATAAAAAAAAAAAAAAAAATTAATACTTAGGAGCACTAAAAATGGAACACTAAGGGAGCACTAATGAGGTGGCTCTCCCTTTAATGTGATGGTTGCCACTTGTGTTTTTCTTTTTTCTTTTATTTTTTATATTTTCTAACTCATTAGAGCTATTAGTGATAGGATTTTTTAGTAGTCTCTATCATTGCTGAAAAAAAAATGTAGAGAATATGAAAAAGTAATGAATATTTTCAAACTTTTAATCGTCTTTATTTTCACAAAACATCCAGAAAACAAGATCAATACAATACTTACTACAAAGGAAAAAAATAAATGTATCTCAAACATTTTTTTCAGTACCATACGAACTAAGGTCTCCACTGAGTGAATCCAACACCACAGAGTACACAGATGAGTTTGAATTTATTATACGTACAAACTAGTATGATTCACATATAAAAGAGAAAATAAAAGAAATTTACAACTTGATCTACACATCCTGTACAAGATATGAAAAAATTATTCAATTTTGCAACTGAAAGTTGATCAAGTTGTAATACACATTCCCCAATTTCAAGGACAATTTATGAGCATAATCCAAAAAAAAAAAAAAAAAAAAAATCTCCTAATTTTCAAGGATACTCACTTTTATCAGCTTATTTCAGCTTATTTTTACCAACCACATAAGCTAAATCCCAAAATAAGAAAACCATAAGCAGAGCTCATTTAAGCTGCAGCAAGCAGGAAACAGCAAACAGCAAGAATTAACCAACACGAATAGATTAACCCAGGTTCAAAATTACTGACAATGAAAGAACAAATCTTATTCTTAACCTGCTTGTGCAAATTAATAACTGCATATTGACGTCCAAATTATCATTACATAAGCTCAGGGAGACACCAAAAGCCTATGTGAAAACAAACAAATATATGCCTTATGATACATTCTCCTCCAATTCTGCAAAAACATGTTCAACATCTCAAGAGGAAACTCTTCCGAAAAAAAATAGCACAACTAAACATGATGGATGCTACTTAGGTATTACGTACCATTCTTACAAGATGTACCTTGATATACAATAGAATGAACCAAATAAACTGATTTCTCCCAACTCTACTAATTTCCTTGTTTGGCCAACCAAATAGAGCACACTAATTACTTTTGAATTCAAGAAACTGGTTTCTCCCAACTCCGCTGATTTCCTTATTAGGCCAACCAAATAGCATACTAGTTACTTTTGAATTCAAGAAACTGGTTTCTCCAAACCCCACCGATTTCCTTGTTTGGCTAATCCATGATGGCTGACTGGTCCGCATGTATTCATCAAGTTTCACTGCCTTGGCGTGGTTCTCTTATCCGTAAATGGTCGTTCATAAACAAAATTTACCCTCTTCCTTCCCTTTCCATTCTTCCATTCCCGTTTTGTTAGATGGTCATCACCATGAAACCTTGAGGTTTTGTAGCTTGACATGTACCTACCAGAGCGCTCTTGATTCCTATTATCAGCCTCATAATTATTATTCTCCCATCCACTATCTTTCATAATTTGGTTACCTTGATTCCCGCACTCTTTCATGATTTGGTTACCTTGATTCTCGCACCACGAATCATTACAACCATTTTCCCATTCATTCTCTCTAACATTTCCATTAGCCTGATCACAACTGCGCTCCAATGAATTTACCTTAATTTCCGAGGATGAACCATTCTTCTTTAAATCATCTTCGGCATCTCCCCACCCAGTGGAAAAGAATAAGTGGCTTGGGACAAGAGATTCACCAAGAATCACAACCTGCTCCACTTTTTCTTGGTTGGCAGGTACCGTAGATTCACATTCCAAGTCCAATAGCAGCTCAGGATCAACATTGGAATTCCAATCTACCTTATCAATATAAATATCTGGATCGGGTAATGATATGTCACAAGGAAGCCCATTTATCTGTGCCCAGAAACGGTTCTTAGCGTTGATGAAAGCCTCTTCACCTGCACAGTCATTCCATTTTAGCACCTTGTCATATAGGTGTATAAACTTCTTGCTTTCTAAGAGCTTTCGCCATGGAACTGAACCAACCACGGTGCAAAATTTCTTTTCCCATGAGGGCACAGTTGGCTGCCAACAACCTGAAAGATAATGTGAAGTGTAAAATGTGCTGACATGAGATAAACAATAGGCACAAAATTCCTAACAAAAGTAAACTCGAGTTAGTTGCCAAACGAGATAAATGCGTAGAAACAATCTAAAATGGAAATAAGAAACAAGTCCCACATTTTTCAACAACTTAAACAGGGCAGTGGGAAACAACATTTAGAAATGAATGAAAACAATATAAAAAAACTAATGGAAACAAGTCCTAGAAATATTTCTTGATGTAGGACCCAAGGAACTGTGTAGGATATTTATTATTAGTCCAATTGAAAATCACAAGTGGACAGCCATAATGGATGAGAACAGAACATGTAACACATATGAACAACCGATTCCTGACTTGCATGATTTCAATAATGAAAAGGAATCCTTTTGTTTTGTTCTGTTTACCATTTTCACTCACGTGTAGTTGTCGTTTTCCAACCGTTTCCAATTATTTCTAGGTGTCATTTCCACATGCAATCAACAAAACTTGGGTATTCCCAAACTTATACATGTTTCCATAACTGCAGAACCCAGAAATAGAAATATGACAGTTTAACAGCTTCCCAGTATCCATGCAAGGGTTTACAACTCACAGTACATTCTGAAAAACACATTTGAACCCCAAATTTCCGTAATTAGGAAACATCAAAACTAAAATTTAAGATAACAAATGTAAACTAAATAATGTCAAACTTCAGTTTCCAAATTTTCACATATCAATCAACTATAGTACAATATCAAAGCAGAAGATCTCCAGAAGTTAGTGAATGATACAAGAATTAAAACACATCAAAGGACCTTGATGTTGATAAAGGCCTTAAACCCTAGTCACCTGAGCTGAACTAAGTGCAACAGAGAACAATTAACTACAAGCAGTTATAAAATTCTATCATTTCAAGACCTAACATCATAATGCCCAAATCTGTCACATCAAGCTATAACATTCTTTTGGTAAAATCAAAGAAATCTCAATATTGAAAAGAGAAAGCTACAATCACCAAGATAAATATTTCTTAAAATCCAAAGAAACCCCATTTTTTTTTTTTTGGACTTCTACCATTTTACATTATTATTTTTTTAAATTTTTTAAAATTAAATAAGTCATACAAGGACAAACTTTATTCTTAACCTATAATAAAACATGTTTAACCATCATGATTTTATGAACACATAATTGCTAATCATACTATCTAATAACACAATCTTTTAGTAAAAATAGCTGTTAGTAATAATGCTTTTAATAAAAATTAAATATAAAGTTTGTAGGTACATTATTTGTATAATTTTGAAATTAAAAACAGAAAGGTTGAATGACACTATTTATTTATTTACCAAAAACATATTTACAAAACACAATATTTGAAGAAAATAACACATAATAAAGTATCTAATAAATAACGCAAACAAATAAAAATGTTTAATAATAAAAAAGAACAAGAAAAAGAAGAGCCTGCATACCAAGAGGTGGCTTTCTGTTATGTGATACTGTTCTTGTAACTTGTTGATTATAATTATCACTCCTTTGTCTTCTCCAATTCCCCATCATCACTATACAAAATAAAAAAAAAAAACTACAAGAATTTCATCAAAACAAAAAAGAATCCAGAGAGTTTCAGCAAACAAACGTGATAGAAACAAGTTCTGCACAATAAATCAACCCTAAAACAAGAAAATCAAAGATGGGTCTTCAAAATTCAACTAAGAAACTCAACCAAAACCACGAAAAGAACAGTCGGTTGGTTTCGTACCGAAACATGAAACATAGAAGACAGAATAACAGATTTGGCAGAGAAATTGGAAGGTGGGTCTGTGAGATTTTGATTCAGAGAAGAGATCAGAGGGTTCCAAATTGAGTGATTGGAGAAAGATCTTGGAGGAGGGTTTTGAGAGTGATCACAAAAGAGGAAACACCAAAAAAAAAACAAAAAACAAAAAAAAACAAAAAAACAAAGAAACAAAAAAAACGTGTTTACATATGGGGGAAATTCTAATATACCTACTCTTCAAGAAGCCTATTACGTGCACTCCTAGTTATTTATTTTAATTTTTTTTTCTAGTTATAACTAATTTAATTATAATTTATGAATTTTTTAATTATGCATTATATTATATTTAATTATAAATTTTTTAGTTATAGTTTAAAAAATAAAAATTATGTCATTTTTTAGTCATGAATTGCATATGCACACTCTTTAAAATGTATGTAATATAGTATACAACTTAGGGGATGAGTATGGTCTAAGCCTCCGTTTGGGAAGTGAGTTTGCTTTTTGATTTTTTGATTTTTTTGATTATTTTAGTTTGGACTAAAAAGCTTGGTTTGGGAAGAATTTTTTGACTTTTTGGCTTTTTTGACTTTTTTTGTGAGAAAATAGTGTAATGATTATGGGTTAAAATAGCCTATTTTGTTTTTTGTGGCTAAAATAGCCAAAAAATCCTGGAAAAGCCCTTCCCAAACGGACCCTAAATTGGTTCGAATTAGGGTAAAATCAGAATTAATTTGTTATTTATGGTTCTTGAAAAATTGGAACCAATCCAATTCGTTTAAATAGTAGAACCAATCCATTTAAACAAGAATTAGATCGATTTAGGACTACGGATTTACATAATTAAATAAAAAAAATATAGAACATTTAATTTCATAAAAATATAAACATAGTATCATATTAGTTCCACAATAGTAACATGTCTTTCCACAATAGTGACATATTGTTTTAAAATTGAAACAATCGTAGGAAAACTAGTTCCAGTATAAGTATTTAGACCATTACAAATTAAAATTAAAAACCAACAAACAAAAGCAATAAAAAGAAGATATTATGCGTGTTTAGGTTTAAGTTTAGGTTATATATGGAATAAAAGAAGATACTATGCAGGAGGGTATATAATATAAATATAGACTATTTGTATATGGTTCGGATCGGTTCCAATCCGAAACCGTGGGATTCAATCCGGAACCAATCCGTAGACTACGAATTTTTAATTTTTCAATCCGGAACCGAACCATAGATTCAAAAAACCAATTCCTTGCTCAGCCTTAATACACTCTCATATTATATGTGCCTTTAATTATGATTAATTTTTTTTTATAGTTATAATCAATTTTTTAATTATAATATTATTTTGAGATATTTAGTTATGATTTTTTTATGTTAGGTTATATATATATATATATATATGTGGGGATATATTTTCTGTATACCAACACGTGGCATGGTATTTTTTTCTATAGTCGGTGCATATGATACACATCATCTTTCATCGTTTGTTAATATAGAATATAAATCAATTTTCTTCTTTAATTATAATATTATTTTACTTATACATCATATTGTATTTACTTATGATAATTTTTTTAAATCATACCTCATAAAATAAGAAATTATGACATTTTAATTCTTAATTATAAAGTGCATACAATACAAAAGTTTTTTTGTTTTATTTTAAATATTCTAAAAAAAAAACAATTTAGAGAATTGATCCACTTTTCAAATTATTTTGAAAACTAACATACTTTGTAAAATCGTATTTTGAAAATGCAATTTTAAATTGAAATTGCATTTTCAACATGCAATTTCAATTGCATCATAAATTTCAAAAAGTGAAGTCTATGTCATCATAAATTACATTTTCAACATGTAATGAAATTGCATGTTAAAAATGTAATTTCAATTTTAAAATCGTATTTTTAAAATACGATTTTAAAAAGTAAGCAAATTTCTTAAATAATTTGAAAAGTGAGTCGACTCTTTAAATTATTATTATTCTTTTTTAAATATTAAAAAAAAAAAACTCTATGGTGCAGGGGTTCCCGCCAATTACGGAACAAGCAGCCCTTACGGTTCTCTTGTTTATTTATAGCTCCTGCTTTTTACCTATAATTACCAACCAATAATGTTTTAAACCATTGAAAGTGGTGCTCTAAAAGCATCATTAGTGATGTAGTAGTGGATGGAGTCCACTATTTGTGTCTTATTTTTTATTTATTTATTTAAAGTACTTGTCAACTCATTAATAATGGTTTAAAATATCACTTTTAATAGAATGTATCATTACCGAATTACCAACTACATCCAATTCCTTCTCTTATATAGACTAAACCTAGGGGGATGTGGTTGTATTTCCACAAAGACACCTGAGATTTGTTTGCCTGTTTGGTTTAAGAGTTTTTTTTAAAAAAATTTATTAGAAAATTCTTTTTCAAGTATTTGTATCTCAATTAGTTCATAAGATATTTTTCTATTTTAATAAGTCCTATTATTTGGACATTTGATCTACCAAATTTTAATTCTTATATTTAATGTATTTTATGGACATTTCTACCCTTACAAATATTTTTTAAACGGTTATAAATTTGGTGATGTGAACATTCATATTTTATAATGTGAATATTCACATTGATGATGTGAACATTCACATAAATGAATATTCACACTGTAAATTTGAATATTATTAAGGATATTTTGTTAACTATGTTATTAAAATATAAAAAAATAATATGGATTAAATGGAATACAAGTAAGTGAAAAGGGAGTTATGAAAAAGTGTCCCTTTTAAAAATAGTTTTTAAATTTTAATTTATATTTTTAGATATATTATAGATATATTTTTTAAGATTTGTTTAAAATGTAAATTACGTCTATAGTTTTAAAAATTCTATCATATCTTTTGACGTTTTAAATTTTATAATAAGTAATCTATTTTATAAATAAATTATCAAGTCAATTAACAGTTTTTAATGATATTAGAAATTTATTTCAATCAATAATTTAGGTAATTTTATTAGAAAAAATTAGTCTAAGATCCGTCTCCCATTTTTAATAATGGAAGAGATTCACAATATTATTTTATGATATCTAAGGTCCCTCAATCCCACACCCATATATCACAGAGAAATTTGACTCCCTCAAATCAAATCAATCCGTAAAGAAGGAGCTGCGAGAGAGGATGTGGCGGTGAAGACGGTGATCATACCACACGATCCAAGCCATTCCCAGAGAGCACACTGACCGCAAAGTCTCCGCTACAGACAGACTCCAAGGCTGAATCCCCGTTATCGTGTTAGCCCAAGACAACGACGGCCACACAACCACTACCACCAGCAGGTCGGCCTCCAGAAAACACCTCGTCACTACTGAGAGGAAGCAGATTCAGGCCATCCTTAACTCCGTTCAACTCCCTTTCTTCTGCTCTACCACTTTCCCTCTCCAGATCTGCGCTGGTTCTGGTTCCTCCACTTTCCTCGAATCTAGCACTGTTCTCCCCATCAAGATTCATAGGGATGAGAAGAGTGGGAAGATTTTGAATTTGGTGTTTGTTTGGGCTGATGAGAGATCGAAGTTGAAGGTTGATGTGCCCGTTGTTTTCAAAGGAGAAGATGTTTGTCCTAGTCCCAAGAAAAGAGATACTTTAAATAGGATAAGGACCACTTTAAAATATCTATGCACAATTGAACATATCTCCTTCAAAATTGAGGTGGACGTAAGAAATCTAGACATTGAAGATAAGGTGTTTTCTTGGCGAGATTGTCTTTCACTTTTGTGCATAACGATCGCTACTTCTGCTTCGTGTATTGGATTGAAATTCTTTAGTTTGGACCAGAGAAATTCTCTGGTTTGAACTGAATTTTCTCTAGGTTGGTCCAAAGAAATTATCTAGTTTGGACTGAATTTTCTTTGGTTTGAACTAAATTTTCTCTGGGTTGGTCTAGAGAAATTCTCTGGTTTGAATTGAATTTTCTTTGGGTTGATCAAGAGAAATTCTCTAGTTTGAACTGAATTTTCTCTGGGTTGGTCTAGAGAAATTCTCTGGTTTGGACTGAATTTTCTCTGGATTAATTTGAGAGACTTTAGACATTATGAAAATATTGGATGTCGTTTATGCTATAAAATCTTAATACCAAGGACCCTAAAAAAAAAATTCCCATTTTATTATTGTATAGAAAAGCAGTTAAAAATTTTAATTTTTTTTATTAATTTTGTTAAATAAAACATTCCAACAAGAGATATTTGTAATTTTTTAAATTACAAGGGATAACTCGTATTTTAAACAAACTTAAGGGTATATTTGTAATTTATTCTATAGTTTTTTTAATTAATTTTTTAAAATTATTTTTATTTTTATTTTTATTTTTTAGACTTTCTTAATTTAGATATATTTAAAAAGTATAAAATTTGTCAAAACAATCTTTTTTAAAATTCACAAAATACAAATAAATAAATAAAAATATAAAAATTCAGTATATTTTAGTATTTTTCTATATTTATTAAATTTTTTAAAGATTTTTTTGCAGATATTTTAATTTTTAAATATATTTAGATTAGATGCATTTAAGAAATTAAAAAAGAAAAAAAAAAGGAGAGAAATTTACCTGAAAGTCCTGTTTTAGAATCATGCTCACTAGTGCTTTTTTTGTTTTTTAAACTTTTTTTTTATGATCCCATAAGTCCTAATGTTTTCTAAAGGTATTTCATGAGATTCTTTTAGAGTATTTTATATGATATCAAGATTTTTTTACTATTTTTTAAATGTAACACTTCAATGTAGCGGGTATGATGTGATATTGGAAAAAACTTTTGAGTGTATTTTTTTTTAAATGTAACAGTTCAATATAACATTCTAAAAAAACTCTTTAATATATATATTTTTTTCCAAATGTAACACTCTAACAAACAAAAGCTCATTAGTGTATTTTTCTCGAATGTAACATTCTAACAAACAACAACAATTAAAGAAATTATAATGGCAAATGAGATATTGCACTTCCAAAAGGTCTAAATTGATCAAAAAAAAAAAAGAATGAAAGAAAGAAAAAGAGACTACATAGATTATAAGTTCAAAATATGAGATTTATTAGTCAATCTCAAAGGGAAAAAAAAGTTAAAATGTGAAAAAAGTTCATTAAACAAAACATGAAAAATAAAAAAATTATTTTTGAAA